AATCAAAAACAAAAAATATTTTTTTCTATAAAGTAGCACAAACCAATTGGTACATGTTTTTACTCAATTTAAAAATTAACATGTAAAAATATTCAAATCTCTTAAAACATTACAAGTCACAAAATAAAAATTTTTTTTAATATTGTGAAAAAATATAGGTGTACAAATAAAATCAGGAAAAATAATTTTAAAAAATATTATATAAAAATAATTTTGTCAACAAATTTAAAAAAAAAATAAATTTTTTGAATATTTAATGCACAGACATAACCGTTAAAAAATAAATTTTTTTCCTTCCAACTATTTTAGTATATAGAGCTTATCTACAAAAGATCTCTCTTTCACTTCTGTCCACCTAAGTTTTGACCCAAAAAATCTCCCCAAAAATCATTCATCAATCTTTTCCCCTTTTACCTACCTGCCTAACGAAACCTGAAAGAGATTTTTGAGTTTGAAACGGGCCAATTCATAAACTAAAAATCTATCTACCTAAACTGTCGTTCCATCAATCACCTACACTAGACAACTCTTCCACCCCTTCAACCCCTTCTTCAACTCATCTCTCCATATCGTTTAATAGGAGGGGGATAAATGCACAAAAATACTATTTAGATATATAATTTACACAATTTTGAAGGCCACAAGTATAACAAAAAGGTAGGTAGGTAAAGAGATGGCTCAACTCAAAAGATTAAAAATCCCCCAAAAGATCAATATCGGTCAAAGAATCTAGTGAACAAAAAATAATTATGAGTTGGTCAAATATAAAAAAATATTAAATAAAATTTTTCAAGATTTAAAAAAAGTGAAAAAAATTAGTTTGAAAGATAAAAAATAAAAAAAATAATAAAAAAAATAATTTAAAACACAGAAAAAACAAAATAAAATTACTTCACCACCCAAAGGTATCGAACTTTACCCTAATTTTCCAATTTTAAACAACAGAACCAAACACCATACCCACTACACCACAACGCTAACCTAACAAATCCAATTAAACTTACACGGAGAGGTTGCGAGGTGTCCGAGCTAAAAACGGTCGAGACCGGGCTCATTCGATAGAGAATGTGCCCTTTCTAGCAAGGATTTTTTGCCGTTTTTGCCCGTTTTTTGATCTGGCCAAGATATGGCCCGCCAAAGTCCCAAAATTTGGCATAATTTTTCCCCTTCCAAATATAAACTTTAAATAATGCTTTAATTTTGTTGGCGTTGTGGTGTAGTGGTGAGTGTGCTTGCGTTACCTTTTTTCTCTAGAAAGTTCGATTCTTTTTTGGGTTTTATTTTTTTAATTAATTGTTTCTAATATTTTTAATTGTTTCTAATAATTTTTTTTTGTTTCTTTGTTTCTAAATAATTTTTCTAATTGTTTCTGATATTTTTAATGCCAAATAATTAATTTTTATAGCATTAAAATAAAAACTTTCCAAAAATGGAACGAATTAATCCAAAAAATGTTATTGAATTATTAATTATTGAATTTTCTGAGAATATACTTGAATCCCCGATTAATTCAACTGAACGTCGTCTAGCAAAATTAATCGGTGATGAAATACGGGGTTGGAAAGAAGCAGACGACGTGGAAGAAACAGAGGAATTTGTCTTTGATGAACCGGAAATCCTGTGTCGGGAAGGGGAAGCTGATCTTGATGAGTCGTTTTCAAGTGATGAGGGGGAAGATACGAAACCTTCTGAACCTGAAACTAGTTCAAAGGTATCTCCTGGGTTTTATGAATCACTTTTAATTTAATAGGTACTCACTCCCAAAGATTCGAGTGGGTCTGAATACACACCCTCGCCAAAAAAGATGTGCCCGGTGTAGCAAATTCTTTTGTTTCAATCATTTTTATATATTGTATCATTTTTGTTGAAAAAGTAATAAATATTGTTTAGAACAATTAGATAAAAAAATAAAACCCAAAAAAGAATCGAACTTTTTAGAGAAAAAAAGCAACGCAAGCACACTAACCACTACACCACAACGCCAACAAAATTAAAGCATTATTTAAAGTTTATATTTGGAAGGGGAAAAATTATGCCAAATTTTGGGACTTTGGCGGGCCATATCTTGGCCAGATCAAAAAACGGGCAAAAACGGCAAAAAATCCTTGCTAGAAAGGGCACATTCTCTATCGAATGAGCCCGGTCTCGACCGTTTTTAGCTCGGACACCTCGCAACCTCTCCGTGTTAGCTTAAGTAAAAAAAAATAAAACTTGAAATAAAACATAGCAACTTCAAAACAAGTCTCGCTTCACAAAACAACATATAAACAAAAAAATGTTAGAAAAAGGAAGTAAAATATTTAAAAATAAAAAAAACAAATTAAATTAAAAAACAAACTTATTTTTCTCCCCCAAGTCTAACAATAAATAACAAAAATTTTATTTTTAAAAATAACACACCAACAACTGTGCTTTCAAGGGAATATTTTTTTCCCGCAACTCGAAAAAAAAGAAAAAGTGTGAATTAATGTTTTTATATAAAATACACCTAAATAATGTCAAGAAAAAGAGGTGCAAATAAATAAAAAAATATATTTTTTGGACACACAAGATATACTTAAAAATACTTCCCCCCTCCCCAAAATGTATGTGTAAGTGTGGACAAGACGAGGATATATATCCCCCTCTTTTGTCCCCAATTTTGCTTCTCCTCTTTTCTTTTTCATACAAATCCTCTCTTCAAAAGCAACAAAAAAAGAAAGGTGGGTATGACAAATCTAATTTTTTTTTCGCAAGAAAATTTGAGAAGAGCTGCTACACAACAAACGACCACCCAAGAGAGACGACGAATTATATATTTTTATTTAATGGACTTTTTAGCTGCTGCTACTAATATATTTTGTGAAAAAGGAGGAAGGAAAAATAAAGAGAATTTGTAAGAAAAAAGGTAACAAAATAAAAAAAAAAGAAAAATTTGTTAGAAAAAAGAGGAGAAATGAATGGATTTTAAGAAAATATTTTGAGAGATTATTCCAAAAAAATTTAAACAAAAAAATTACAAAATATTAAAGAAAAAAATTACAGAAATCCTAATCTTGTAAATCCTAAAAACAAGCATTGTCAGCAAGGTAAAAATTAAATAAATTTCTTAACAGACTCACCTCTTCTAAATTAACATAAATCCCAACCGAACCTTTCCCAGTTATAACAGTCCCCCCCCTTAAGCAGAAAAAAATTTACAAAATCAAAAAAAAAAATAAATTAAATAAAGAATAAAGAAATTTTGAAAAATTAAAATATTGCCAAAAAAGAAAATTTGAAAAAAATAGAAAAATGATGCACGAGACAGAAAAAATATAATAATTACAAATATAAATTTTTAAAAATTTCCCCATTAAAAATATACCAAAAAAAAAAACCCATAGCTGTGCGCGATAAGAAATTTTTTTTACAAAAAAAATTTAAACAGAAAAGAGTCAATAATATTTTTTATCGTTTTTTAAAAAAATATTTTCCTTTCAAACCACTTCTATCTGTTAAATGACTGCAATCACACAAATATTCATCAGAAAATCGTGGAGGTTCATTGGAAGAATAAACACCCGGCACTTCGACGTACTAATTTTTATTTTTTTAAATTTAAAATTGCCAAAAAAAATTTTTTTAAGGTGCAAAAAATATCCCAAGTGGTCAAAATAATTTTTTAAACAAAAAAAACGTATTTTAAAAAAGTTTAACCAGAAAAGGATTCGAACCGAGTATCTACCCATGGGCAAATCGCAAACCTATCCCACTAAACTAAATTACCACTAACATAACAAAATCCACGAAAATTTTTTTCAAATTGTCAAAAAAAAATTTTCAGATGGCCAAAATTATTTTTTCGGCAAAAATTTTGATATTTTAAAAGTTTCGACTGAAAAGGATTCGAACCTGGGACCTATAGTATTTAACCACCAAACGTTTCCTACTACACTAACAATCATCCCTAACGAGCCAAAATAGGAGTGAATTCCCTTCAAAATTTAATAAACCTTCACCCTATATAAATTAAAAAAATTTTTCCAATCGCCAAAAAATTTTTTTTCTTATGGCGCACAGCCATAAAATATTCAAAAAATTATAAAACCCACTTTGCTAACAGTTGCCTGTGCAGGATAAAGCAATTCATCTGATCTCCTCAACAAATCCATAAAATATTCTTGGATAGCAGCACAAGGTCCTTGGTGTGTTACAATTAGAATATCACCTAAAAATTGATTTAAATGATTTTTTGACATTAAAATTAAAAAATAAACCTTCACATATTTTCAACAATTGTTTTAAAGTATGCTTGACTCGATTAAAACATGCACGTACTGTTGCGTTTGAATCAAACTGAAAAAAAAAGATTTTTTTGAAAATAAATTTTTTAAGAGAAATAAGGCTCTTATTTTGAAAAATAATTGAAAGGATGAGATGAATTATTGATCTTTCCCAGCTTTGAAGTCAGCGCCGCATGCAAAATTTTTTTTTGAAAATTTTGGAAGGCCAAAAGGCCATATTTCTTCCTTAGGTTGAAAATAGAGATCAAGATTTTTAAAAAGCCATGGGCCGCTATGTTCCTGGACTCTTGGGTTTGATTCAATGGCCGAGACCTGGGCCTGTAGCACAGGAAAAACCCAGAAAGGGCAAAAAATGCCTGGATCTGTGTACAGGAAAAACCCATGACTTGGTGCAAACCCAGCTCGTTCTAGTGGAAAAAGTTCAAAGAAAATGTATGGGATTTGGGTCGAAAAAAGAGAATCAGCAAGTTAAGTCGGCTAAAATGGAAGCCAAATCATCTCAGTTTTGAAAATGTAACCATGCCAATGAAAGTCGTGAGTGGACAGATTTTGACAAAAGACACTAGTCAAGCATTAGTATTTTAATAAAAACTAGAGATCGTACTGGGTCTGAACTAAAGCCTTGGTTTTTCCTATACCTGGAGTCCAAGCATTTTTTGACCTTCCGGGGTAATCCTGGACTACATCAAACATAGAACCCAAGAACAGGCCTTGTCTTTTCAAAAATACCAAACTCTAATTAAAAACTCTGGGAACACCAAAAAATACACACAATCTCCACCTAATTAAAAACATCAAAGAACCAAACCTCTTCCTCTGCTGGCGAAAGATATAACGGCTTATAGCGTAAATTGATATTCGGATATCTTGTAGCCAATTCTCTATCTTTTTCATACGTTGGCCGCTTCTCTCCAGACTCCCTAACTAAAAAACCGGCCTTAAACGAACATTATTAAACTTTTAAAACTTAAAAAACCTCCAAAAAACCAGGTTCAACATTTATTAAACAATTTGACCGGCCTTCCAATATTTTAGCTGAGGTTTGAATACATCGCTCGTATGGTGAAGAAAAGCAATAATCGATGTGTATCTTCTTAAATCTAAATAGAACATTATCGAATAAAATTTAGATAACAAATGATAGATGTTAGCGTTTCACTGGAACCGAAATTTTGACCGGAACCGGATCCAATTCGAGTCCCGGTTCCCGGAACCAAAAAACCGCCGGAACTTGCCGGAACCGGAACTTCCTCCTTTACGTTACTCAACCGGCTCAAAACGGTCAGACTCGCTCAATTTTGCTTATTTCCTCAAGAAATTCGATGAGTCAAGAGACTAGGAAAAGTGAACTTGAGGAAGTCTGACCATGATGAGTTAATAAAGAAAATAGAGATCGGCTTGGTCTGGAAAAAGCTTGGGGTTTACCATAATCAAAGTCCAGGCCAGGCATTTCTTGACCTTCCTTGGTTTTTCCTGGACCTGGATTTTTCGTGGAATACAGACCCACGATCTGGGCTTGGGTTTTCCTGGGCCCAGGATTTCTAGAAGAAATTAAAGTGAACTAATTGAACCACCCAAATTCAGGGTCAATAAACCATTACCCCTTTAATAAAAAAAACAAACTCTTGATTCAAATCATTTGCTTGTACCAAACCTCTTTCAGAAAGTGGAGGATTGTCTCTCGTAAAATGACTGTTGAAATACCAAACTCGATTAACATCATCTTCTCTTTCACAATGTCGAATAACATAAATATGTCGAGGTGTTGCCATTCAGATTTTTGTTGTTAAATAATAATTTTTTTAGTCTTTAAAAAGTCTGTAAAAAGATTTTTAGTAGAGGTCGGCATGGGACAAGATCCCGTACAAGATTTTACGGGATCCCGTCCAGGAATCCCGGGTTTTTAGCGACAAACAGGATTATCGGGATCTACGGGATTAATCCTGTCCCGCAAAAAATTTTGAAAAAACTCCCGAAACGAGACCCTGGAATGTGATTTTACCGACCACTAGTCTTTAGATAAAATGCTCCACAAAAAAAAAGAAAATTTAACTTGGAAAATTTTCTTCCATTATGAAGGTTACCATTTTGAAAAATAAAAAACAAAATGCCAAAAAACTAAAAATTCTAATTTGGCAGATTATATTTTATTTCTATCACAATCTGATTTTATGGCAATAAATAAATTGAAGAAAATATTTTTACAAATTAAAATTGAATTTTAAATAATTGCTAAAAAAAATAGATTAATCACATTTTAGGTAAATAAATAATTTATTTTATTAAAAAATATAGTAGAGAGCGAGCTAGATCCAGACCTTGATTTTTATTGAATCCAGAGTCCAGATCAAGGCATTTTTCAACGTTCCTTGATTTTTCCTTGACTCACGGCCATGAATCTGGCCAAGGTCCTTACTATTATAAAAATCAAGGTCAAGGAACAAGATCAAGGTTTTTTTTTTGAAAATCTCGCTCTCTAAAATATAGAGACAGATAAGAGAATTTTGGCTCTTGTGGACTTTGCGGATTTTCCCCCACATTCACTTTTAAAATGAAACTAAAAAATAGACGAAAAATATTCATTATGGAGCTTGTCCGCAAAAAAGTCCGCAAGTCCCAAATTTTTAAAAATCTTTTTACCAGTCTCTATTCTTAACCAAGTTTAAAAAAGACTAAAAATAAATGCATCAAATCCCTAATTTAAAAATTCTAATAAAAAATATACTAAAAATCTCCCTAAACATCAATGTCATCATCCATAGCATTAGTGTCATCCTCTTGATTGTACCTCTGATTATTTCTTATTTGTTTGAATCTATCATCTCCCAAGGATTTGCGAAAGTGTTCCTCCACTGAAAAATTAGGGAAATTTTTTTTTAACACGAGACAAAATTTTTCGAATTTTTAAGAATTCTTTGAAAATTTTTGTAAAAATTTCAAAAAAAAATTTTAAACCTTTCAAAAAATTTTTTTAAAAATTTTTTTGAAATTTAAAAAAAAATTTTTTAAAAAATTTCTTGAAAATTTTTACAAAAATTTTTTTAAACCCCCAAAAAACCTTGTTTATCTTCACTAGCCAAATTAAGCCTTCTAATAACTGTATATCCAACTCTTTGACCAAGATGACAATTTATCCCACTAGATACTTTTCCTTGTAAAATCTCTTCATTTTTAAAAGTACTCAAAGGACTCTTTTCTTCCCTTTTTATTGTCAATATCTTCTCCATTTCCTCCTTTTCTTCTGTTTTTACTTCCATTAATAAATCCTTATCTTGACTATTTTCTTCAAATCCTTCTTTAATACCCTCTTTATTCGAATTTTTCGAAATTATTGTGGCCCCACTACTCCCTCCACTCCTTCCAAAACGCAAAGATGTTGATGTCCTCTTTGGCCATTTCCCAGAAAATGTTCTTTTAAAGTGTTCACTAACATCTGCATTAGAATTACTACAAGTTTTGTAATAGGAGACGGAAGAAGAGCTTCGTCGAATTGAGCAATTTTTGCGTTCCTGGATCTGTGGAAAAACAACGAAAATTTTTATTAAAATAAAAAATTCTTAAGGGAGAAGGAAGACCAAACTAATAGGTTAGGGCCTCTGTAGACAAAAAACAAAAATTCGCCCTCCAACCAATCCTCCGAAAAAATCTTTCGAAAAAAATCCCTCAGAAATCCCCCTCGAACGACAGTGACTATGAGAACCTTTTTTACCCTAACAAAGAAGTATTCCCAGAACTGTCATTTTTGAGAGTTGCTATTCTGTGTCACTTCCCATTTTTCTATAAAAATTATCAAAAATATAAAAAAAAGGGGGAAAAGGGAAGCTCAAAAATAAAAAAATTCCCAGACAAAAAATTAAAAAAAAACTCCAAACCTTATCATCCTTAAAGTGGAAAGACTCCAAAGAATTTTGTTGAGTACTTTGCTGTAAATTTGCAGAATTATTTATCAAATTTTCTCTAGTTCCAAAAACATTATTAATAACTGTTGCAACATTTAAATTGTTAGGAGTTGAAGTACAATCATTTTGGGAATGTTGGGGTTGCTGTTGCTGAAGATTGAGGAGAACAAGCTAGGAAAAAAATAATTTTTTCCTTGAAATTCCAAAAAAAAATTTTCAAAAAATTTTAAAAATTCCTAAAAAAATTTTTTTAATTCTTTAAAAAATTTTTCAAAAAAATTTTCATTGGTTTTCAAAATTTTTTTGAAATTTTTCAATAAAAAAAGATTAAAAAATAAACCAATTGTTGTTCCAAAGACGCCAAACTTTGTTGTTTATTTGTTGAAAAATTATTATTTAAATTATTTATTGTTGGAGAAATATTTAATGCTTCAATTCCGTTAATTTGTGATGTTGGCGAAGTCACCTCAGATTTTATTCCAACATTTCTGTTTGCAGCAAGTTTTTGATAATTTGCGAGAGTAAGGCTTTCAAATGCCTGTAAAAAGAAAAATAAATAAGAGAAAGACATAAAACTTTAAATATAAAAACAAATTTTACAATTTGTAAATGTTTCAGGTTTCTACAAATATTAATTGTATTCTCAACTTGAAAATAAACTTTTTTATTAAAAAAACTTGAAACTTTTACAAATTGTAAAACAAGTTTATTTTTTTAAGGTTATTTTCAAGTTGGAATACTTAAAAATAAACTTGAAAAAACTTGTTATACAATTTGCGATTATTTTACAATTTGTAAAAGTTTCAAGTTGGAATACGAAAATATATTCCAACCTTTTACAATTTGTAAACTTTTTACAATTTATAGTATCCGACTTGAAAAATAAACTTGGAATATTATTTTATTAATAAACTTGAAACTTTTACAAATTGTAAAACAAGTTTATTTTTCAAGTTGGGAGACATAAAAATAAACTTTAAAAAATTTACAATTTGTAATTAATTTTACAATTGTAAAAGTTTCAAGTTTCTCATTAAACATTTCCCCTACAAAAATAAATAAAAACATTTGCCTGTATTCCATTAAAATAATTCTGTTGTGTCAAGTCTGTTGTTGAATAAAATTGTGAAATTGGAGAAGATTGATTTTGCTGCCTAATTATCGCAAGTAATTGCTGCTGTTGAGAGAGTAGAGAATTAGAAGTTAATTCACAAAATAGGGGAAGAGAAGAGGTTGAAGAAGAAGAGTGGCGTTGGTCACGATTTTGTAAAATTGAAGCTAAAAAATAAAAAATTTTTTTGAAAAATTTCCAGAAATTTTTCAAAATTTCTGGAAATTTTTTAGGTTAAAAAAATATATTTTTGGAATTAAAAAATTTTTAAAAAATTTTTTTTGGAATTTTTTAAGCTAAAAAATTTTTTTGAAATTTTTCAAAAATTTTTGAAATTTTTTGAAAAATTTTTCAAAAATTTTTGGAAATTTTTTAAGTTAAAAAATTTTTTTTAAAAATAAAAAAAATTTTTTAATTCACCCAATAATCCAGGCAACGCTTCTGAAGCATTAAAAACTTGTTGTTGTTGACTCAAATTAAATAAACTTGGATTGTAAAACCTTTCTGAAGGTAATATTAGATTTGAAGAAACAGGCGGAATTAATTGATTATTTAAAGGCAAATAAGTTGTTGTAGAGTTGGTGGTAATATCAAAAGGAGACAATGTTGTGTTTGATGTTGAGGAGGTTATGGAATTGGTTGTGGCCATTTTTTAGGTTTTGAAAATTCTAAAAAAAAATTTTTAAGTCTAAAAAATTAAAAAATTAAAAAAAAATTTTTTTTAATTTTCAAAAAATTTTTCAAAAATTTGAACAAATTTTCAAAAAAATTTTTTCTGAAAATTTTTCAAAAAATTTCCAAAAATTTTCTAAAATTTTTTGAAAATTAAAAAACAATTTTTTGGAAATTTTTCGAAAATTTTTTTTAAATTTCAGCAATTTTTAAAAATTTTTTAAAAAACTTTTTCGAAATTTTAAAAAATTTCAAAAAATTTTTTTCAACCTTTTTCAGCTTTTAATCATGCGCTTTTTATAAAAAATGTGAATGAAAAATAATTAATTTAGAGAAAAAGTAATTAAATATATTATTAACTTTGCAAAAAAAGATTGATTATAAAGAAAAGTAAATGGAGGGGGGAAGAAAAAATAGAGAAATTAATGAAAAGAATGTGAAAAACATATAAATATTAAGTAAAATTAACCCAGAAAATCGACATACTTTTTAAAAAGGGTGGAAACTTGCGGAAAGAAACACTTGCGGATTTTTTGCGGACTTTTGAAAACTTGCGGACAGAAATTTGCGGACTTTTTATTCTTTGCGGACTTTACGAAATGTGTAATATGCCCATTAAAAAGATCTATATGCTTTGACTATAATACTGGATTGACCAAGCAGCTCCAGCTTCAATAGGCTTAAAGTCCGCAAATCTTAGTCCGCAAAAACGTTAATCCGCAAATTTAAAAAAAGAAGATATTAGGTTTATAAATCAACCAAAAAACATAAAAATAAGATAGAAACTAAGGATAGATGCTCGAAAATAGGACAGAAAATAAGAGTCGAACGTCTAATGGAAAAATTGGGGGAAAAAACGGGAAATCCTGGTCATTTTTAATTTTTCAAAAAATAAAAAAAATAACTAAAATTCCTTAAAATTCCCCCAAAAATTCTTTTAATTCAATTAAAAAAGGGGAAGAATAATTTAAAGAATGCGGAAAAAATGCAGGAATGTGTTTATTATTTTCGCAATAATCTCTAGGAATTAGCGTCATGTTTTTGGTTATAAAGTAAAAGTGCGGGGAGAATTTACAGGAAAAAAGGGAGGAAATGAATGGAATTTTAATATAAAATATGAATATTTAATAAAAATAATGGAGAAATTAAAAAAAAGATTAAATGGATAAACTAAAAAATTTGAAGGTAAATTGCCGGGAAAAAATATTTCAAGACCTAAAGATTCAAGAAAGAATTGTGGAAGATAAATGAGTGTCCGCAAAAACAAAACATGTCCGCAAAAATTCTTTTTTATGAAATCTAAAAATTTTCTGGACAATGGATCACCTAAATTTTAGATGGATAATGGGATCGTCTAAAATTTTCCTAGCTAAAAATGGATCATCTGGCTTAAGAACATCCACTGTTTGGTATTTCGGCGGGTTTTGAGAGGGCTGGAAAAAAAGTCATCTGGCTTAAAGAGAAGAATCAAAATATGGCTTAAGAGACATCATTCGGAATAAGACTTCATCCACTGTCTGCTATTTTGACAGTTTTTGGGAGGTTTGGTATTTCGGCGGTTTGGTATTACGACATTTCTATTTTTGCGGACCTTTGTTTTATTTTCTGCGGACACTCATTCATAAGGGACAGAAATTTTAAATGATCAAAGAGAAGAGAGAAGCCTTAACCAAATGTCATTTTTAAAAATTGAAAATACCCTAAGGGATAAAAAAATTAACTTTTTGGTTTATCAATATAAGTATTGATAACCAAAAATTTTTTGCAGAAAATTTTTTTTGATCAATTTATTAAAAAATTAAAATTCTCGTCACTTATACCTGTCAAAATTCCTAGCTATTTCAATTAATCTTTCTTAAAATGACCAAAAAATTTTTTCTAACCAAAAACTGTTAAATAATTAAAAAATTTAATTTATAATTAATTTTTACTTCCCTGATTGGAAGCAATCAATTGCTATAGAAAAGAGGGGGAGACAAAAGGAATGCAAAAAGAAAAAAATTTTTCTAAAAATATTTTTGAGCGATAGAAGAGAATGGAATTTCTTTTAGAGGCGGAAACAAGTGGCAGAAAATGAAGGGAAGGGAGGAGGAGGGGGGAAGGAGGAGGAAGGGGACGAGAAAAGAATGAAGGGGAGGGGACGAGGAAGGGAATGAAGGGTAGGAGGGGAGGGAAGGGAGGGTGGTAATGGGCAGTTGTGGAATGCGCTGAAATGATTTGCTTTGTTAAATGGGAACGAGAAGGGAAGGAAATTTAGAGAGAGGAATGATCAACCCAAGAGATCAAGAAATAAAAAAAAGACCAAAAAATCAGGGAAATATCAGGGAAAATCCGGGAGAAGAATAAAAATGATCGAAAATTTAATATTTTATGGAAAAAGAAAAACCTGGAAAACCGGCAAAATGTGAGGAAAACCAGCAGGTTAAATTGTGAAAAAGGCACACACAATCACAGGAGATCAAAACAGGCATAGGCCTTTCAATGCGGGCTCAGCTCAGCATCATCCTCAACATCAGCTTGTGGCTGCTAATCTAAAAATAATATTTAATAAGTTATAGACTAACAAAGTAACCTGACAAGCACAATAATGACTAAATAATAGTGTAAAACTAAAGAGCGAGCTGGATCCAGACCTTGATCTTTCCTGGATCCAGAGAAAAGATCAAGGCATTTTTTAGAGTTCCATGATTTTTCCTTGACACAAAATCAAAAATCTGGTCAAGGTACCCAACCGATATCAAGGCCAAGATTTTTTTTGAAAATCTCGCTCTATATAAAACAAAGAAATTTTTTTCTGAAAATTAAAAAAAAAGAAAAAGTCAAAATTTAAATAATCACAAACGTATTTTTTATTAAACGCCAAATTGGCATAATGTATTTTTTTTCAATTTGTGTTTTTCTGTTTTTAAATTCTTTGTTTTTGTTCAATTTCTTGTTTTCCTATTTTTTTGCTTTTGTTCAGATAGGTATTGCACCTTTTCAGGAGATCAACCGGTAAAGATTTAGTCTGTTTTCATTTTTTGTTCCTTGTTTTTTAGCAATTCAAATGCTATTTGGAGCAATTACCTGCTGAATTTGAACGAAGGTTCGCAAGAGATCGAGTTCCTTCTTGTGGATTTTATTGGATTAGGAGGTACGGTGAGTTTTTAAAATTGCTTTTTTAATTTTTCCAATCTTTTAAGGTGTGTCAACTCGGAAGATTTTGTTCCAAAACTACACCAAGGAGGACAAATGGAGATGTTTGCTGAACAAATCAACATCCAACAATTGTTGTGGAGAATTTGGCTAGAACTGTATTTGGCAGAGAATATATTGTAGAGAATATCAATTAAAATGGTAGAAAGAATGATTACAATCGATATAGAAAGTAAAATCAAATCTATAATTTATCAATCATATCATCTAAATATCTATAATAATAAATCCTACATATCACAAAATAAATACACAATTTCTCATTATCAAAATCTAAAAAATTCTTGTTTTAAATCGCGCTCCTCATCTTTCCAAGGCATTATTTTAATTGTGGTAATGTACAATCTTTGTTGCTTTTGCTGTGGTTGTAGACTTTCTTTTTCTATCAATCCATCGCTTTTTAGGCTTCTAAAAACGACAAGAAGTTTTTAAAATATTTTCTTGCCAGGGTTAGAGGTTAACACACCCGGCTTGCACTTAACGTGGGCTTGCACTTAAGCTTGCACTTAACTCAGGTTAGATGCCTGGCTGTAGTTGGTTAAGTCAATTTAGTGTTATAAAACAAGTGGTACACCCCGATAAGGAGGCACCTGTGTTTGTAAATCCCGAAGCAGCATGAGTTTGACTTATCTACTACTAACAACTATATAAAATCCTTAACATTCTCCGTCCAAAGGTAAGAGGTAAGTCTTCGTGGTTGCTTTGATCACACAAGAAAATTCTTTCTCACCTTTCATTTTTAATTAATAACATCGTGTCTTCACTAATCTCCTTCTTGCTTCCTTTTTCTTTATCATGAAAGATTAAACGTATAGGGCAAATAATCAAAGGTTGTCTCATCTCTTGAGGCCAGAAAAACAGCGAGCTTCTTTGTACCGGGGCAGCAATTCTTTTAACAAATTCTTTTGCAAAGTCAATGCAATTATTATTAAGTAAATGATAGTTATCTTTGCGATATTTTTTACTCAATTCTTCTTTTACTTGCATTATTTGTTCCAAGGTTAAGCGTGTTGTTAAGTTTAGTCTGTCTATGAATCGCCTAAAAAGTATTCTTTTTTGAAAATTTTATAGAGCTTGAACTCAGTTTATCTAGCGAGTCTACATCCTCTGATGGATCTTCCCCTTTTTAACCCTTTAAAATATCACTTTTAAAATTTTTTTTATCTAAATGCAGACGAATTCCGTTCTTATAAACCAAGGATTCCTCTGGTTATCAGAAATCAGATACCGGTCCTCCCTCTTAATTTCTTAACTGAGCCGACCCGAGACCGGAACGTGTACAAATTCTAAGCCTCGACTCGAATGAGGGCTGAGAATTCGTATTTAAAAACGAGCCGTATCCTAGAGTTGGAGGTATTGCCTAGGATAGCTCCCCTCCACCCGATGTTAATGGATTTAAAGAAATCAAGATCCAACTTTAATTAACTCACATAAACTTAATCCTCCACCGGACCAATCTATTAACATAGCGGACATTAAAAGTTTTCCTTTCATTCATGGGAGCACAAGCAAAAACCCCAATTCTCATTCCATAATGAAATTCTTGCCCCTTAACAAGCACCCCAATATGATAAATACGAAATTGTTTTTGAACATCATATACAGCTAAACGTATTCTAGAATCGTTGGGACTCATTCCTGGTTGTTGCTCCATTCCGTCTACACCCATTTTTAATAAATTTTATTTAAAGATTTTTTAATCTAAAAATTAATATTAAGTAAATTAATTAAATTGACTATTTTGCTGGCTAGAAAAATTAAGTAGAATTTAATATAGATCGCCTTAACCTTTGCGCATTTTTGTAAAAATTGATATTACTGCTATTTTTGTAATAGAAAAATTTTGTGAAGGGACACATTCTTGTTCCACCTTCTTTTTTCTGTTTTAAAATGCAGTCAAATCTCTTTAAAGGGGGCATCCCACTAATGTCTACCTTTTGGTTCAGTGAACAGTTTTTAAATGTGGTTGGCCAATGTGTTTGGCTGGTGGGGGAGGATGTCCACGTTGTAGGTAGTGGATTTGAGATAGATAGGATATGAGGTATGAGAGGAGATATGAGAGAAGCCATATAGAGATAGACCAACGTCCACTTCTCGATTTAGTGGACAGTTTTTAAGTGTGGCTGGCCACAAGTTCTGGTGTGGATGCTCCCCTCCTATTATATCCTCATTGTGGGTAATTTCATGAGATATGAGATAGATATTGTGGGATATGAGAGGACTTTAGGGTACGGATTTTTTCAGCCCCAAGGGTGTAACTTAATTATAACGAGGTTCGGTTCTGTCTTATCTTAATTTACCTAGAAGTGTTTTCAAAAAATAATTTTTGTGCACAATTTGGCGTTTAAATATTCGGTTATTTTTGAGGTATTTGAAAAACGTTGAAGTGACGTCCCCAAGGGTTTCCGCCATTTTTTGATCTTTGAAAAAAATGAAAGAGGAGTTCAAAGAATTTTTAAAAGGAACTTGGGACCTTCGGCCAATTAAAAAATAAATTTTCCCTTCAAAAATGAATTTTGGAAAATTAAAATTACCAAAAAATATTTTAATAATTATTTGAATAATTACCTATTCCCCGCCCCAATTTGACCATTTACCTAACAACAAAAATTTTAAAGAGAGCAAGGTAACAGGAAAATTTAGCGCGAAAAAAAGGAAGAAATTCGGCCAATTCACCTCTTTTTTTGAGATTTTTGCTCTTTCTCCTAAATAAATTTTTATTTTATTAACTTATCAACGCGCAACGTCTTGCTTTTAATTGGGGGAAAATTAATTTTTAAATAAAAAAAAATTTAATTTCTGTCTAATTAAATTGATGGGTATTTGATTAGAAAATATGTTAATTAATTAATATTTTTTATTTTATTTTTCGTTTAAATGCAAAATAAATAAATTAATTAAAAATTAAGGGGGTGGGTAATTAATAGAGGCAATAGAATATTTTAATTTTTGTACACTGATTTTAGTTGGATTTTTTGGGGAATATGGGACAATGGGAGGGAAAGTGCATTACACTAATTTTTATTTTTTTTTGTTTATTTTTGAAATAAAAAAATGTTTTTAATTTTTTTGAGGATAACAATTGGGAGAAGGAATTAGGAGGGCTAGTGCGCGAATTTTACGATAAGTTTGGAATGAAAAATTAAAAAAAATAATTTTGGTATCATTCGATAGAGCAGAAAATTAGCTACAAAATGATATATAAAGTAAAATTTTGGGTGGCTGAAAAAATAAAGTTATAAATTTTTAAAGTTGGCAAGGTTATTGAGTTATTATAGAATAATTGTTGTACCTTGATTTTAAATTTCTGAAAATTTTTTAAAATAACAAACAAATTTTTTTTGGAATAAGGGGGAGGGGGATAATATTGGGAATAGTGAAAAGTTTCTGGGGAACGAACGAATAGGGAAAATAACGTAATTTTTATTCTTAAAATTTTTTTATTCTTTAGTTTTCTGGGAACGCTACAATAGGAAAAGTTGTGAGAGTCGGACGAGCTAGTTTAACAAAATTCTAGAATAAAAATATTTTTACAAAAAATTTTTTATGGTTCAAGACTGAATTTAACTAAAATTATGGTGAAGAATTTTTTGGAGATTAAAAAAAATTATTTTTCAACATAAAAAATTCTGTCTCCAAATAATTTAAAAAAATTTCAGTTTAATTTAGCCTTGAACCATTTAAAAAATGTTTTTGACTATTAAAAATATTTTTTTGAATAAATAAAAATAATCTTTAGTAGAGGGAAATAAAGGAACTTTTTTAATAAAATAAATAAATTTAATAAAATTTTTTTTCTCAATTTTATAATTAATTTATTAAGGAAGAAAAAACGCGCAAAAGAGAAAAATTAACTAGTTTACTAAGTAAATGTTTGGTCAATTTTTTTCATTTTTAGATTTTTTATTCAAATTTCAAGGGCAATTTATTAAATTTATTATTATATTTTTGACGTCAGTTGTGAATTTGCCGAAAATATTTTTATAAAATTTGGTCAAAAATACATAAAAATTAAATATTTGGGAAAAATAAATTTTTCTTTGGTTGTAGAAAGCCTTGAAAATTTAAAAAAAACCCGGGCCTTTTAGGATATGGAAAATCTGGACATATCCTCATAATAATAAAAATTTATTTTAAAATACCCCTATGACATAAATTAATATTTCCGGTATATGCTCGAATAATTACCCTCTCTCAAATAATAACCCCACCCCTCAATTAATTATCCCTTCTCAATTAATTACCTCCCTTAACGAGAGGTTCCGATTCCGATTTCCGACAGTTCCGATTTCCGGCACCTTCGTCATTTCCGATTCACCTCAGCTCTCAATTAATTACCTTATCTAACGAGAGGTTGAAACAATAATTACCCAAGGTAATCATTTGAGTATTAAAGATCGAGCTAGGCATGGACCAATGCCTGGGGTTTTCTTGTACCCAGAGTCTAGGCCCAATCATTTTGACCTTCCTGGGGTTTTCCTGGGCCTGGGTTCTTTCTGGACTACAGGCCCAGGATCCGGCCCAATTCAATAGATCAAACCCAGAGCCCAGGAACAGGTCCAGGATCTTCAAAAATTTCGATCTCTTTGAGCATATACAGTATATTAAAATAAAAAATAATTTTTCTCATTAAAAAAATTTTTTTAAAAAACAACTAAAAATATATATTAAGTAAAAACAACATTAAAAATTATACAAGACATAAATTTTAATTTTTAATAAATTTTATTTTTATATTTTTTTGCTGCTATTTTTATTTTCATCAAATATTCCAGTTTTACGATTAACTTCTGGTCCTTTAATAATTTTTTAAAAAATAATTAATTAATTAAAAATATCAAAAACATACGGCAATTAACACAATGAATCCAAAGAACGTTTAAATGACGCAAATTTGCCAGATGGGCAAAACGGCTAATTATAGGGGCGGAGGAACAGAAGTATTTGTCGTCGTAGCTTAGTTCGCAAGTATTGCTGGTTTTGTTAAAGATGGCTCCCGTACAGCCGTCCTTTTAAATTTTTGTTTAAATGATACTGTAATATACTGTAGGTTACTGTAGGACCGTAACCTTTGGGACAGAAATTGTATCTTATAATAAAGTGTATATTAAATAGAGGGTAGCGCTTAAGCTTCCCTCGCCCAGTGGCAAACAAAATTTAAAAAACATACACTAAATAGAGGTGTAGCTTGTATTGGGGGTTTCTAATATCGAGGTCTGACAAAATTTCTGAGAAAATGAGTTTTGTGGGGGTCCCTCTTCAATAGACCCTCTTCAATAGACACTCAGGAGCCTTATCCAATAGTTCTGGGGCCCTTTCTAATAGAAGCTCTGGTCATTCCTATTAGAAGTTTTGGTACTCTCTAATAGAAGCCTTGTTGCCCTTTCTAATAGAAGCTCGGCTACATATCTAACAGAAGCCCTGATACCCTCTCCAATAGAAATTCTAAGTAAGAGTTCATGTCTTACCTGATAACACCGTATAGCACACACTTCAATAGATTCTACATCCAATTTTAATTCAAAAGGTGCTTTGTGATGGGAGGGTCTATTAGCTAAAGGTTCGGCTTGAAATGTAATGAAACAAGCTGAAAAAATAAATTTTTTACTATATTTTCCTTTTAAACCAAACCATTATCCAATTTTATTGTTTCTGGTCCTTTACCAGAATTATTAACGTGTAATTTTTCTGTTTTTATTGGTGTATCTGTTTTTGAGGTGTTGAGGAGTGGGGTTGAAGAAGGTGTCGGTGTTGTTGAGGTATTAGTTATGGTAGTGGTAGAGATTGTGGTAGAGATTGAAGGAAGTGTTGAGGTGATTGTTTTTATTGCTGTAAAGAGGGAAAGTCTAATTGTGTTAAGCGATATAAAGAGAAAAATCCCAGTTATAAGTCTCTTACTTATTCTTCATCTCGTACTTATCTCACATATTCCTTGATTCGTTCCTGACTTAGCTAACTCACATCTTCATATATCTCTCCTCTCACTTATCCCACTTATTCCTTCATTCGTCTCTGAATTACCCTCTCATTTTTATACTTATCCCAAGAGATCCCAATTGCTCCCTCATGAGTACTTATCTCTCTATCTCACTTATCTCACTCATCCTTTTCTTTGCCTCTGACTTATACCTCTTATCCTTATCGGTATTCCTTCCTTATTCTAACTCTCTCACTTATTCCTCACTTGCGAGAGTCTCCTATTAAACGAGAGCCCCTCACTAATCCAAAGATTTAATTTATCAAAACTTTACTAGAATTGCTGGTTGTCTCAATATTAATGTTAGGGATTGTTGGAGCCGTTCCATTTTCCAACGATTTAATACTTGAAACAGATTTTTGTATTATGGAAGGAATGGTTGTTGTTACCAATATTTTTGTTAGTATTGTTGAAGGGATAGTTGGGGCTGTTTTTGGTAATACTGTAGTGTTTTTAGTGTCGATATCCTTTGATTTTTGTTTGGGTATTTTTTGTTGTCCTCCACCGATATTTGTTGAATTATTTAAAGGTGAGAGAATGTCTAAATCTCCTGTTACTCGATTGACTTCTGGACCTGTATAAGACAAAAATACAGTATATTTACAGTACTCGAATCTCTTCTGTAAGGGTTATGGGCTCAAAATGTCCAAATTACAGTAAAATTACAAAAGGCCCAAAATACAAAATGCCCAACGTACAAAAGACCTAAAGACGAAATGCCCATATTTAAGAAGGTCCAATTTACAAAATTCCAGTGTTTTAAAGGCTCAGCCACGTCTGAACAATTCTGTCTCGATGCAGTTACCCCCCTCTTCCTCTTGACCCCTCCTCTCTTCCCCTTGATTCCCCTCTCTCTTCCTCCTGATCCCTGGAAGATATAAAAATTCGAAAACTTACGGCAATTAACACAATGTATCCACAATGGATTAATATTCTTTAACTGTTCCAGATGCCGAAAACGACTAATTATCGGCTTCGAATCACAAAAGTGTTTATCTTCATACCCCAAAACACAACTCTTATTGTGTGAATGAAAAAGTGCCCCAGTACATCCATCCTGATAGCATCTAACGGCACAAATCTCCAACGATTCTACTTCAATCTCTAATTCAAAGGGGGCTGTAAAATTCTTTGGGCGATTGGCTAACTCTTCTGCCTGGAAGGTTATAAAGCACCCATGTTCTAATTTGATGGTGGATGGAACTGGGGGACTTGCTGGTTCTTCTACTTCATTTACTTTGTTGGGTACTAAAGAGCTGATTGACCTTCCAACTAGAGGGAGTTTTTCATTCATTAATACAGTCTTTGCTTGGTGTGCCTTGTTTCTCTTATTTTTGGGAAGTTCTTCTTCACTATTCAAGTCTTTCCTTAATTCTCTCATTTCTTCAGAAAGATCTTCAAACATCTCTTTACTTTCTCTCTTTAAGCTTGATTTTGTTCTTGTATTGTCCTCAAGATTCTTCTTCTCTACATTTTTATCCTCTTCCTTTTCTCCCCTTCGATTCTTTTCCATCTCTTCAAGTCCTTCCTCTTCCAATTTCTTTCTCTTTATATTTTCTTCCCTCTTCTCTTCTTTCGTTTCCTCATTCCTCCCTCTGTCTTCCTTCTCATTCGCTTCCCTGTCTTCCTCATCCTTCTTCCCTCCATCTCTCTTCTCTTCATCATTCTTCCTTTTCTCTATCTTCTCTTCCTTCTCATCCCCCTTCCGTTTCTCATCCCTCTTCTCGTCACCTTTACTCTCCTCTTCCTTTCTGCTCATCTTCTCACTACCTTCCTTCCTATTCTCCTTCTTCTCAACATCTTCCTTCCTCCCTTCCTCCTCATCAATTTTCTCATCTATAATTCTTTTCTCTGCCGATAAATCCATATTCTTCAATCTATCTTCAATTTGTTCATCACCCTTTCCACTTAACAATTTTTCAATTTTCCTTCCGTTTTCTTCATCCAATTTATCATCTTTTATTTCGGCAACCTTTCGCTTCGATTTATCAAGTTCTTTATCTTCTTTTTTGAAGGTAGTCTTCGACTCATTTTCTTCCCTCTTTTCCTTCTCTATTTTTGAATCACTTTCTTTCCTTGTTTTATCTTTTCTTGAAAGTGAAGCCTGTCTCTCTTCTTTATCAAGCTTCACTTCTGTCAATTTCTCTTCACTTTTATTAACTTCTTCCTTTCCTTTCGTCTTTCTTGACGTCTCTTCCTTTACGTCATCTGCTTCTGATTCCTTTACTTTCTCATCCTTTTCCTTCTTCAACCTCGTTGTTTCTTCCCCTTTCTCATCTTCCTTCTTTAACCTTTTCTCTTCCTTATCCGCCTTTTGTTCATCTTGTCTATCCTTCCTCAACCAGCTTGAATCTTCTTCAATTTTCTCTTCCCTCTTTTGTTCATCTCTTTCTTTCTTCAGCCCTCTTGTATCCTCCTCCATGATCTTCTCTTCTCTTTTTTGTTCACCCCTTTCTTTCTTCAACCCTCTTGTATCCTCCTCGATTTTCTCTTCCCCAATCTTCTCTTCCCTCTTTTGTTCATCTCTCTCCTTCTTCAAACTTCTTGTCTCTTCCTCTATATTCTCTTCTACTTTTGGTTCATCTCTTTCTTTCTTTAACCTTTTTGTATCTTCCTCAATTTTCTCTTCCCTCTTTTCTTCTTCCTTTCCTTTTGCCATCCTCTTAGATTCTTTTTCTTCATCCACCTTCTCCTTTTCTTCTCTCCTCAACTTTGTATTATCCGCGTCCATTCTCACCACGTCTTTTTCTTCGTTTATTTTCTTCTCATCCTCTCTTTTCTCTTCCTTCTTTTGCTCATTTTCCTTTCCTTTCTTCAACCTAGTTTCTTCTTCCTTGACTTTTTCATCTCTCTTTTGCTCATCTTTTACTTTAGCTACACTCTTCGATTCTTTTTCTTCTTTATCAACTCCCTTTTGATCATCTTCCCTTCTTAACTTGGTATTAGATTCTTCCTTCCTTTCGTCTTTATCTATTTTAGTTTCACTTTTCTTCTCGTCTCTTCTCTCCTTTATTTTCACCTCTTCCTTCTTTTCATTTCTCTCCTTCCTTTTTTCAGCTGATTCCTCTTCCTCTTCGCATTCCACACTTTCTTCCTTAGTATCTTTCTTCTCTTCCGCTTTAATTTTCTTTCTCTTCACATTCTCATCTCCCAACTCTTTTCTGATTTTTGTCTCACTATTCTTAACTTTCTCCGTTTTTCCTTCTTCCACTTCTTTAAATTCATCAATAGCTTTCTTATTGACAGAAGCTAAGCTCAACTTTTCATCATTTTCTCTTCCAACTTCTTTTCCAACCTTCAAATTCCTCCTGGCCACAAACTGTTCTTTTTCATTTGTCTCATTCTTCTTCAATAAAGCAAGCTCTTCCTTCTTCAATTTATCAGAAGAATTATCCTCGTCTTCTTCTTCAAGACTTTTCTTCCCTTCAAATTTCTTCTCTTTTCTAATCTCTTTTTTTTCTGTCTTTTTATTTCGTGCTTCTTTCACAACATTCTTCCCTTCCTTTTCACCATGCTCTTCCAGTCTCTCTCTTAAATCTTCCTTCGAGGCATCTTCATCTTTCTTATTCATTCTAGTTTTTTCTTCCAAAGTCTTTTTCTTCCTTTCTTCTTCAACCTTCTCTTCCTTTTCCATTTCTTCCATTCCTGTTTCTTTTTCTCTTCCCTTCCTTTTATCGTCATCTTTTATCCTTTCCTCCTTCATCTCTTTCTTTCCAACATCCTTATCCTGTCTTATTTTTTCATCCTTAACATTTTTTACTTCCTCACTCTTTTCTTCTTCAACTTTTTCTCTGCCAGCATCCTTTCTTTCTTTTCTATCCTCAATTTTAGTCTTCTTATCCATCGTCTCTTCCTGATTATCAGTAGAGAAGAGTGTCAAATCATCACTTTCCTTCTTCACTTTTTCATTGTCTTTTGTCTGTTTCTCTTCCGTTTCTCTCTTCTTCTCTTCTTCAACATTTCCTTTCCCAATCTTCAAAGAAGGCAGTTTCTCTTCCTCTTCATTCTCTTCCTTTATTTTCTTTTTCTTATTATTTTCCTTCCTATCTCTCTTTTCATTATCCTCCGATCTTCCCTCCTCATCTTCCTCTCTCTTCTTATCATCTTCCTTTTTATCACCTTTCCTCTCCTTCTTTTCCCTTGCATCTCCTCCCATTCCTTCCTTCAACACTTCTTCAGATAAGCCCTCCTTAGTCTTCTTCCTTTTATCCTTCTTTATTTCATCTTCACTTTTTCCAATTCTCTCATCAATACTCATTCCTGTTGTCGTCAAAACAAGTTCACTCTCTTCCTGTTTTTCTCCCATTTTAGCTTCTTTCTCATTCAATAAAATATTTTTTAATTCTTTTTCTTCAAGATTGTCTTTCTCATCTTCAACTTCTTTCCATTTTCTTCCCTCTTCTTTAATTAAATCCAATGTATGGATCTTCAAATTTCTTTTGAAAAGTTCATCTTCCTCCTTTTTAAGCTTTTTAATTGGAGGCTTCTCATCGCTAGACTCCCCTTCCTTCTCTTCCTTTGTCTTTTTCATCTTTTCATCCTTTTCTTTTACCTCTTCATCTTCCACTTTTTTCTTCTCCTTTGCTTCCTTATCCTTTCCTTCATCTTTTTCACCGCTCTTCAATTCGTCCTCCGAATTCTTCCTCTTCCCCTTCTCTTCCTTGCCAATCTTCTCCTTTTTAATCTCCTCCTTTTCTTCTTCCCTTCCCCTTTTTTCTTCCTCATTCTTCAACTTTTCTCCTTCACCCAAACCTCTTCCTTCTTTCTCATCAACCGTCTCTTCTGCCTTTACTTTCTCTCTTTTATCTTCCTTCTTGTCCTTCAAAAAGAAAAAGTCTTCCTTCTCATTTCCTTCCTTTTCACCCTCCAAACTCTTCTTCTCCTTATCTTCAAGTTTACTTATTTCTTTTCCACTGACTGATTTTGTTTGGGTATCTTCCTTCTTAGAAACCTCGACCGCCTAAAAATTATCAAAGAATTATTGACCCTTATGTAACTGACCATTTTGTCCTTTGAAGGTGCCGCAATGTGCCAACCCCTTCTAGAGTGCATTTCTGCCAATAAATCCAAAGAAAATACAGATTTAAACAATTTTTTAGGTTTCTCCTCATCTCTTCCACTACTCTCTTCCTTAACTACTACCTCTTCCTTCCCTGCATTATTTAACAAGTCAACAGTATTTTTCTCTTCATTCTCCGTTTTTTGCAAAACTGTTCTCTTCACAAATTCTTCTTCCTCCTCCTTTAGTTTTTTCTTCTTCCCGTCCTCTTCCTTAATCTCTTCCTTGATTTCTTCCTTCCTTTCATCCAAATTTTCTTCCATTTTTGCAATAGTAGCTTCATCATCTACCCTAATGGTAGTCATCTCTTCATCTGAGGGAGGGATAGGAGGAAGAATTGTGTTTGTTAGTGGTTGCTGTTCAGCTGGTTGTTGGACCTTTAAGGGGTTTTTTAAAATTAAAAAAATTCTTTTAATCCCAACATTTGGATTAACCACTGGATCAACCGGAGCTACCGGTGGCAATATTGGAGGAGGCAAAGTGCTGAAAGGTTTAGCAGAGGGAGAGAAGGCTGTATTCGTTGTAGTCGTCGTAGTAGTAGTTGAAACAAAAGATAAGGGTGTTGTGGTTATGTGAGGGGGAAGTTCGGCATCGTGAGAGACTGTGACGGGTTTTGAAGGGCCTAGATAAAATTTTTTTTTGAAATTTTTTAAAAAATTCCTTTAAAAACTAACTGCATCGGATACAACTAATAATAGCTCTAGGCTCATTTCTGAAGGAATAATGTCTCTGTCCTCTTCTATTGCAAGTCTCGCTCGGTCCGATTTGTAGATGGCAACGAGATTCTGGCTGTCCCAATTCAAAAATGGCGGCAGAACAGAAATTTGAATAGCAAACGAAGGCGCATTCATTCAAGCTTTAAAATTTAGGGAGAGGGAGAGTTAATTAGAATAGGGTTACAGTATTCACCTTTGCACAGCTGTTGTTTTAGTTAACTTTAAGTTGGGCAGGGTTATAGCCAGCATGTGTTCAGGCACAATTTCGAAGGTTACTAGACAACCTTTAGAAGAAAAATTTAAAAATTTTTTTTTTGACCCTCTAAAGGGCTTAAGTTTAGATTTTTCTTATAAATCTACCATTGTCTATAGATACAAGAGGTGATGAGAGTTTTGAACTGGGTACTGGAACAGCTTGGGAATAGTGCTGTAATAGTAGTAGAAGGACCACAAATAATTTGGTGGTCATTTTCTGAAAATTTTTAAATTTAAGAGGTTGACCCAAATGAGTCAAAAAAAATTTTTTTTAATTTGAGAATAGTGCTGTAATATTAATAGAAGAACCCCCGCCCGAAGGCATCATAGAAAGCAACCGGCTGTGCCAGTCAAAATTTTTTTCAGTTACAAATATCCCTTAAATCAAAAGGAGAGCCATTATGAGTCAAAAAATTTTTGTTGACCCAGTCAAAATTTCTTTTTAAAATTTCTACAAAATTTTGACCATTATGAGTCAATATTTTTTTTTCAAAAATTTTTCACAAAATTAGAACAATAGTTTTCAAAAAATAATACAATTTGAGAAGCTTGAACAATTATAAAACAAAGAAAAACAAGCTCTCCTTTAAATCAGTTACAAATATCCTTTAAAACAAAAGGAGAAAATAGTAAAAGATAGGAGCGGTTTATTAGCTTCTTTTTTGTATAAAGGAACTTTCTCCCTTATCCGCTTCTTTCCATTAAAAAAATTTTTTTGTTCTTTCAACTTTATTAGGAGATATTAACCAGTATATTTATTTAGATGCTTGTTTTTATTTTTTATATATGTAATGCCGATGGCTAGTTTTGTGCGCGCAAAAATTAGAAGGGAATAATAAAGTTGTTTTTTATAGAGGTAATTTAAGGGGAAGGTTGTTAAAAAATTTTTTTTAAATATTTTTTTATGTTTCCCGAGAGGTTATAATAAATAAATAATAAATTGTTTGATAAAATGGTTATGATAAGAAAAAAATTATTGGAGACCTTGAATTATTTTTAAGTAAGAAAAATAGGTTTTAAAGGAAGGCAAGATCCAGCTAAAAGCGCTTAAGGTAGATTAAGGTCCTTGAAAGAAAGAGTGAGAGATAGGTGACAGTCGTTACTGTAGTTCTACATAAATGAGAAAAAGGTCCGTGTATCAAGTTTTGGATAGGACTTTCAAAACTCTCTTCGACTCGGGTTTTGGGGTGAAAAGGGTTTCGGGTCAAAAAAGGCACAGGTATCGGAGTATCGAGTAACCCGAACCTTTCCTTACCTAAACGAAGTTATCGACCCCAACCTAACAATTCGAGTACAAGGAGTCGTATTTAGGTTAAATCTCTGTCTGGTCTTACTTAGGGAAAATTTAGAGATAAATAGATTTTGAGGCATTTCAATAAGCTTTACAGGGGACATGGTAAATTTATTTATCTTTAATTTAGTCAACATATTTTGGGATATATTTATCAAGAGAAAAAGAAAAATAAAAGAGAGAAAAATAAGAAACGCAATCATTTGAACAAAAATTTGCCTAATTGTATTTAATATATCCATGTAATGATAAAAAAACTTGTTAATATACGTTAAAGATCAAAATAAGCGGAAGAGAAAAAAGAATAATAAAAAGAGTTTATTAAATATTTAAAAATAAATTTTGGTTAGGATTTGGTTTGGGAAGAGATTTTTAATAATAAAAGCCAGAGATAGGTAAAAAAGTTTAGCTCCGGACTGGCATCACTACGTATATCTAAGCTCAGTAAACCGTTATAAAAACGATGGTTTAAAGAGCTACCGAGCGGAGCTTTTCGAAAGTTAAAATTTCGTGGATTTTTTTCTTTCGATATTTGATTTTGACGTTTTGGCGATATTTTAGATTTACTTCGAAGATTTTTTTCGAAACAGCTCTATTGCCAAGAGTAAGTCCATGTCCTGAAAGCGTTTTAAATCCTAGCCAATTGGATCTCCTCCTCCTTATACATAATAATTAAGCGAATTTTAAGAATATTTTTTTTATTCGAAAAATATTTTTGTCCATAAAAAAGGTTAAATAACTAGTTATATAAAATATTTGTAATAAAACAAATTGCACAATGTAAAACTAAAAATCCTAAAATATTTATATATCCATTTCCTTTAAAATAAAGCAAAACCTTTCATCAACAGCGCGCAACTTGCCCTTTTTTAGTTTTTTGATTGATGAAAAAGATAATAAAAAATAATAAATTGCAAAAAAATAATAAAGTTTTGTGGTCTTACAAATAAAAAATTACAGTTGGACCTCCCGTGATAGACCCAATTCCAATAAAAATAACTACTCAATATATAGGGATTTTATACCCCTTTCAATGTTTCAAGTATTAAATTATTGAACAAAAATAGAAATTTCTGATTTTTATTTTATTGGACAGTTAGTTAGAACAAAGTTCTAAATAGTTTTAGATACAGCATTTAATGCTGCTTCGAATGATATTATAATTATCCTTATCAGTCTAAATTCACCGACCCCGAACCTTTTGAATGTTTCAAGTATTAAATTAGTATATCCCAAATAGATGGCCAATAGATGGCCACGTATCACCATCAAGAAAATTAAATTTGAAAATATTCAATTAAAAAAAATATTAAAAAATTATATATTGTATTATATCTTCTTGTATATTGATTGGGTACAATTCGTCTTCGTGTTTTAGATACAGTATTTTTTGCTGATTCGAATGATATATACCATGATAGATGCACAACTACTTTTGAATAACTTATTGTAAACAAGAAGGCAGCAGGATTCTGATACAGTTTTTTATGCTCTTTCGAATGAGCTATATATCAGCCAAATGTGATGCGAATTCGTGATGCCATGAAGCTTTGAAGTGTATAAGTGCCAAATAATTTTCGATATACATCAATTTTGGATCACTACTTTTGAATAACTTATTGTAAACAAGAAGGCAGCAGGATTCTGATACAGTTTTTTATGCTCTTTCGAATGAGCTATATATCGCCAAATGTGATGCGAATTCGTAATGCCATGAAGCTTTAAAGTGTATAAGTGCCAAATAATTTTCGATATACATCAATTTTGGATCACTACTTTTGAATAACTTATTGTAAACAAGAAGGCAGCAGGATTCTGATACAGTTTTTTATGCTCTTTCGAATGAGCTATATACCAGCCAAATGTGATGCGAATTCGTGATGCCATGAAGCTTTGAAGTGTATAAGTGCCAAATAATTTTCGATATACATCAATTTTGGATCACTACTTTTGAATAACTTATTGTAAACAAGAAGGCAGCAGGATTCTGATACAGTTTTTTATGCTCTTTCGAATGAGCTATATATCAGCCAAATGTGATGCGAATTCGTGATGCCATGAAGCTTTGAAGTGTATAAGTGCCAAATAATTTTCGATATACATCAATTTTGGATCACTACTTTTGAATAACTTATTGTAAACAAGAAGGCAGCAGGATTCTGATACAGTTTTTTATGCTCTTTCGAATGAGCTATATATCAGCCAAATGTGATGCGAATTCGTGATGCCATGAAGCTTTGAAGTGTATAAGTGCCAAATAATTTTCGATATACATCAATTTTGGATCACTACTTTTGAATAACTTATTGTAAACAAGAAGGCAGCTGGATTCTGATACAGTTTTTTATGCTCTTTCGAATGACTATATATCAGCCAAATGTGATGCGAATTCGTGATGCCATGAAGCTTTGAAGTGTATAAGTGCCAAATAATTTTCGATATACATCAATTTTGGATCACTACTTTTGAATAACTTATTGTAAACAAGAAGGCAGCAGGATTCTGATACAGTTTTTTATGCTCTTTCGAATGAGCTATATATCAGCCAAATGTGATGCGAATTCGTGATGCCATGGTGAGTCGAATTAATAATCTTCAATTACCCCAAAGTTATAATCCCTCGAATAAAACCCCTTAATAAATTATATTTATTTTAAAAATATGGGGTAAAACAAAAATTTTTTCTGAAATTTTATCGTATAGAGAGAAACGATAGCTCATATGAAAGTACATTAAAAGGTGATACTAAAAATGGTGAGTCGAATTAATAATCTTGAATTATCCCAAAGTTATAATCCCTCGAATAAAACCCCTTAATAAATTATATTTATTTTTAAAATATTGGGGTAAAACAAAAATTTTTTCTGAAATTTTATCGTATAGAGAGAAACGATAGCTCATATGAAAGTACATTAAAAGGTGATACTAAAAATGGTGAGTCGAATTAATAATCTTCAATTACCCCAAAGTTATAATCCCTCAAATTAAACCCCTTAATAAATTATATTTATTTTAAAAATATGGGGTAAAACAAAAATTTTTTCTGAAATTTTTCGTATAGAGAGAAACGATAGCTCATATGAAAGTACATTAAAAGGTTATACTAAAAATGGTGAGTCGAATTAATAATCTTCAATTACCCCAAAGTTATAATCCCTCGAATAAAACCCCTTAATAAATTATATTTATTTTAAAAATATGGGGTAAAACAAAAATTTTTTCTGAAATTTTATCGTATAGAGAGAAACGATAGCTCATATGAAAGTACATTAAAAGGTGATACTAAAAATGGTGAGTCGAATTAATAATCTTCAATTACCCCAAAGTTATAATCCCTCAAATTAAACCCCTTAATAAATTATATTTATTTTAAAAATATGGGGTAAAACAAAAATTTTTTCTGAAATTTTATCGTATAGAGAGAAACGATAGCTCATATGAAAGTACATTAAAAGGTGATACTAAAAATGGTGAGTCGAATTAATAATCTTCAATTACCCCAAAGTTATAATCCCTCAAATAAAACCCCTTAATAAATTATATTTATTTTTAAAATATTGGGGTAAAACAAAAATTTTTTCTGAAATTTTATCGTATAGAGAGAAACGATAGCTCATATGAAAGTACATTAAAAGGTTATACTAAAAATGGTGAGTCGAATTAATAATCTTCAATTACCCCAAAGTTATAATCCCTCGAATAA